AATTAAAAAAATAAATTATTTAAATTACAAAATATCTTTAAAGCTTTAAAAATTTGCAGCAGACTTTTATAAATAATAAAAAATTAAAATATAGAAAATGTTAATATATTGAGCCGAGTCGAGCAGATCCATGTTCAAGTTTGAGCTTGTTTATTAAATTTGAGCTCACAAGCTTTCAGAGTTGTGTTCAAGCTCGTTTATTAAATTCGAGCTCGAGCTCTAATTGAGCCTTGTGAATGTGTTCGAGCTTAGTGTCTGTTTGAGTTGGGTTCTTGTTCGTTTCATATGATGATAATCAAGTTATTATCGAGCAAATTAATGAGTAAATTATTGCGGCACTTAATTTCTATCTAAACAATTTTTATTGAGTAAATTAAAATTAGTGTTACCATGTTATTTATTTTGTAATCAATTAAGACTTATTGAACAAAATAATTAGTATGTTGAACTTTATCAAACTTATAAATGAGTTACTTGTTGAACTTACAAAAGTAAATGAGCAAATATGAGAATAAGTTTTTATTGTTTTATGTACGACAAATTTAAATTTAATTTAATTTAATGTAAATGGATTTTAAAGTAAGCATTAATTTAACTCATTCACAAGCTTAAATTAAGCATTGACATATTTTATTAGTAAGCACTAAATCGAACTTACTTATAAACTTTCAATGAAAATGTTTATGGAGTTTCTTAAAGAATTTTTTCATGAGCTTTAAATAATATTGTATGCCAATATAGAAGAATAAAATAAGGATTTTTTCAAGTCTTTTCATTTAACAATCGAGTATTTATAAATTTGTTCAAACTTATTCAATTAGTTAGCCAAATGAAAATGAATGAGCTCCTCTCGAGTCAAGCTACTAGTAGCTTGTTATCAAATTGGTCTCTTAAAATCCCAAAGGGCCATCATATATTTTTCTCGGTTATCTAAACTTTTACATTTAAATTAATTTTTAACACAATTTCTCATATTTTATCTTTTCTTGTACATTATTATCCCACCATTAAATTTTATTTTTATTTTTAAAAATTTTTTCTTTTGATTCTTTAAGTACATCTTTTGCCACATGTTTGAAAGTGCTTGATAATTTATCCCAGATAGAATTATATTCTTCATGAGCATCCCAAATCTAGAAATATTAAAGTTTACTCTTAAAAATGATTTTATTTGTGTATTTTAAATGCCCTAATTTAATTTTATGAAAATGTTTTATTGTATTTTTTATCTTACAACTCATCATCTTAAAATACATAACTAATAATTGACGTTGAGTAGTTAAATTTTCACTTCGAATGACTTTACATATTTTACATTCTCGGCGATCTTTTTTTCTCATAATAAAATAGTCAATTGGTGTTTTATTAGATCATTTTTATAAGTGATAATACGCTCATCTGTTTTCTTAAATAAAATATTACTAATAACAAAATATATGCTAATTCAAAATCTAATATAGTTTTACCTTTTTCATTAATCACTCCAAAATCGTAGCCACCATGAATATTTCTAAAATCTTATGCAACTTTACCGACATGTCCATTTAAATCTCCTTTAATAAACTTTTTTCTTCAAGAGGAATCATTTGTATTAATTTTTTCAGGTTATTTCAGAATTTTTCTTCTAAATCTATATCTAAACCTACTTGATGAGCATGAGCTCTTGTAACATTAACAATTTTAGTATCAATAACAATCTTAAGTTCTATAATTCTATCTCCAAGTCTATTAATTTTTGCAACGTTATCTTTCAAACTCTTATCTATAATTACACTTATACCAAAGTTCAAAATATAAGTTATCAATCTTCTTAGTCTTTTCTCCAAACCATTTATTTTTTGAATACATAAAATATTTATCTTCATATGAAAAATGATATCAACTTATTTCATTAATTTATCTGTGAGAGTATTTTTATTTCAAGATCATATCATAATATTAGTTTCATTGACTTTACTCGTATTCGTCTGTAACATGAGAAATCTTGTTTATATGACACTACACTAAGGTCTCGATCTAGTGGCTCTTGCACATTTTTCAATGTATTCAATTTATACAGCCGTCGCTTTTAGAGAATACCCTAGTATTTACACTAGGATTTATATGATTCGTGTCATGATTTCTCGATAAAAAATTTACGTTGGCCATTGATTACCTATAATCCAACCCTCCACTTTTCGCATTCCCGGCTTCAAACCTAACAATGACATTGTTACTAAATCATTGATGGAGAGTGAAAATTATAATTTTATGTCGTTAGTTAATCTTTGAACTTTTTGAGACATTGTTCATGACATAATAGATTTATTTTAAATTATGATTATCATATACTTAACCTCATTAACATAATATGAAAAGAAAGAAGCACAATAAATCGATAAGTGTGTACAAGAATTTTTCTTTTTTGTAAAATATTAACCTAGTGAAAGAAAATTAACATGTCGTTATTTTAAGATTTAAATTTTAAGGTAGAGTTAAATGTTTTATCTCATGTTATATTATATTGCTAATTAAAGTGTTAGATTCGGAGCACTTATCTATGCCTTTGTGGGTGGGGATAGGCATATATACTTACACTAATTGCCATTAAGAGCTCTCAAAAAGACTTATCCGTTTACCTCATTTTAGATTTTGCTTAAAATTCACAAAGGTCATGATAGTTTTATTTTTTATTGACAAATTTTTTTAAAAAAATGTTTATTGTATTGCTTGTGATGGATCCCAAATTGTATGTCTCGAGAGTTAGAGATGAGTGAATGAGAGAATAAAGTGAAGCAAGAGTTACTGTGGAGAGAACCGGGAGAGTCATCTTTATTTGTATTTTTTTCTCTTATTTCTAGAGACATATTTTGTACAATTACAGAAAAAAGAAAACAATTATGAAAATTTTTCTTAATAAATTATATGGATTTCTTTCCATATTTGTATTACAACTTAAATTTCGATTTGACGGTGATTAGTTGAGTGTTTCACTAGAATGCAACTGGCTGGGGTGATCGACTGTTTGACACCATCCCTTATGTTTGGTTGACTGAGGCATTCAGTCGAACGACGATCTCGTCTGACGAGTCAAAAGCAAGGCGATCGTGCTTTCGCGATCAGGGGGTTTCTGCCTACGCTTCAGTTGGTCGATTGCTCGACGAATTAGTCGATTTATTTTTTGTTTGGTGAACTGTTGCTCACTTATCATTTTTGGCTTATGTCTTACTGGGCCTACACCTCGTTAACCGACCCACATGTCCCTTGTTTAAAGACTCCACCAGATACCCCAATTTGCAAAGTCTTAGACGGATCTTGTCATTGTCTGTGTGAGTTATCCGATGCGATTTGTTGTAAGATAAGTTACACCTCATCCTTGGTGGATCTTATCATTAACGGGTGAGGGACCATATACAAAACTTTGACATGTCCCTTGTTTAAAGACGCAGTTTCACCTATTTGGTGTTGACTTTTCGCTCGAACGTTTACCCTTGAGGAAAGCTTTTTATTTGTGGTTGTTTATTCTCTTTGAGATTCATTCCGGTAGGTCTAGTGCATATAACTTACATTAAAATTAATGAAGCTTAATATGTTATTAATATACTTTTTCAGAGAACTCATTAAAACTCATAATTTATCATCCATTATCATATGAAGCGGAAATGTTAGATTTGTTTTTTTATTTTTAAGAAAACTATTTGGACATTATTAGTAACTCAATTAGAGGATTACGTGTTAGAATTTGCATAGAACCTTAAGCATATCTAAGGAAGTTCGAGACATACATTTATGCATATTTCAAACTGCACGCAGAAGCATTTTCTAAAAAAAAAAAAGGAAAAAAAAAAAGATGAGACTATTTACTTTTAAGGTTATAATTACATCTGTGATCAAGTTTAAGAGTACTAACAAACATGCTTAAATTGTTAATCAAGAACACTTGATAAAAAAAATGTTATTTAAATAATAATGTACACTCTTCTGGCATGCTTGCTTTACTTTTCAATTAATTTTTTTGCTTTCAGCTTTACATTTTGATTCCAACCCATAAATTAAATGTTGCTGCTTTAGTATGATATTTGCTGAGCTCTTACCTTCTAGTGAAAGCAACAATATTGATGATCTATAAATTAGTTACTGTGAAATCAGGCTATAGATGCGCTATCATTAGGTCTACTTCACTTTTCTATAAATCCCACTGCATCCATTAAGAAAGCAGCATGTGATTCAAATCGAAAGAAATTCCACTTGAAAAGTGTCCATGAAAATTTCATTCAATTGAAATCAATTCTTCAACATTTAAAATCAGATTCATCACTGAATTTATGGAATCCAACACAACACAAAAAAATGCAATGTAATACTCCTAAGATTTACGAATATTCGGATTTAAGAGTCGCAAATTTGTTTTCGATTATTGATACAAAAAAAGCAGGTCTGCTTCGGCAAGTTCTCAATCAATGTCAAGTAATCCAAGCAACAAAATCTCTAATAAACCTATTCGTCTCTTTGCTGTTAATTCCTAGGGCCAATTAACAGCACAAGAGCACCTTTATGAAATGTAAGAATGAACCCTCAGCCTCAAAATTGCTTCACTTTATTTTTTAAGGGAAGATATCTCTCTACCAGTATCTTTGGAGCTGCTTTCGTCATGTTGTGGGTGGGCGAGCCATTCTTTTTTGACGCTTGCCCTTCATAACTAATCACAATCTTTATAAAAGATTATAAAAAAGAGGAGCCTTTGTTATCCAACAAAAAAGCAGGGCCATAAAACGCATTAAAACATTTTTTTGGGGGGGAGGAAATAGCCAAAGACAGCTTCAAGTATTTTCATCCATATGGAAAGTTTAGGTGGTAACTTTAGTTGCCAAAACAGAATTTTGAAATCCTATTAGCAATAATAACTAATGCCACGAATCATTCAAAGCTCCCGTGTCAAAAGAAATATAATTATAAATACATAAAACTGTGGTGACGCAAGCATTTTAAAAAAATAATAATAATAAAGAAAAAGAAATAAGAAAAAAAGAAGCTTTTTTCTCCATTCAATTCCACTTCCAAGAATCATCACAATTATATCAGAAGGACCCATTCGATGAGGACAAAACAGAAAAGAATTTGCTGAACAAGGAAAACAATAGATGCACTGCAGAGGCTATATGTCTATGTATATGTAACATTATGAATGACTAATGTTTTCTGTATAACCATTCTCTTATATACAAAGGAATAATGAAGCTGAACCTGTTTCAATTGGCTCATAATTTCACTGGAGGGCTTTCCTGCACCCAAAAATTAAAAAAAAAAAAATCCACGTCATGATATATAAAACTAACCGAAGCTTAGAATCTTAAATGATTTAGAGTCCATTTAGGACTAGCAAACTTATTATTTTACATATTTTTTTAGGTAGGAAGTTTCACAAAGAGGACTACTACTACAATAGCTGAAAAAAAGCTCACATTAAAAGATATAATACCTGCAACTTTCAAGAACTATCCCATGCAACTTATCCCACAGTTCACAGCTAATTTTACAAATAAATACAGTTATCGCAAACAAATCACTAGAATAAATATTTAGAAAATGAATAATAGATATATTTTGAAAAGACAGCGATAAAAAATAAAAAAAGAAACTCCACCGCTGAGACATTCCTTTTCATATACCTTTAAAGAAAGGATAAGGTCTTTGAATGACAATAAAAAAAAGAAAGAGAATTACTATGAAAACATCCAAAGTTAGTTTAGGTTAACATCATTAATTCTATAGTCTAAACATTAATAAATGTTTCTCCTCTAAGGCACTTGATCTGATTCAAATGCACAAGACCCAACACGAAAAATATAAGGTGGATATAAACAGAAACTATTCACCCGATAAGATCTATAGTATTACCATGGAGTGGACTGTCTTATATCCATCATTTAAATATTAAAGTTATCTATTGCAGTGCATATAACTTCAAAATTTTATGATTTGGGATGTTGGAAGCAAATTTTATGTGAGATCAAGTAACAAATGCTATTAAACAAGTGCAAAAGATGTACTTGGAGAATCAAAAGTAAAAAATTATATAAATAAAAATAATTGGCGGTGGAATAATAATGTGAGAGAGGATAAAATATAAGAAATTGTGTTATAAAAATTGGTTTAAATATAAAAATTTAGAGAGTTGGGAAAAATAAAAGAACATATGTATAAACAATTTGTGATGTCAAAATTCAGCTTGTAGTGATCTTTATAATAGATTAGATACTAAAGAGGGATGAAAAACATATGTATAAACAAGCCAAACAAAGAGAAAAGAAAAGTAAAAATTTAGCTCAAGTAAAGTGTATTAAAGATGAAAATCAAAAAGTGAATTTCTCACAGGTGCGTGAGATATTTTGATAAATCTTTTAATGAAATTTCTGAAAATATGATCGACCTTAATAATCTTAATATAATTAATAATAATAAAACTTTTTATTTTCATCCGTCACATCAGCCAAAAAAAGTTGAGGTCTTAAAAAAAATTAAGGGTGAAAAATCAGTAGAACCTGATGCTATCCCAATTAAAATGTGGAAATATTTTAACCGATTTGGGAGCTTCTTAGCTTACTAAACTCTTTAATATTAAACTCTTTAATATTATATAATATTATATTAAAAACTAAAAAGATGTTTGAGGAGTGGAGGAAGAGTATTTTAGTCCCCATTTTTAAAAATAAAGAGGATGCACAGTAGTGTGTAAATTATTGAAGAATTAAGTTAATGTGTCGTACTTTCAAATTATGGGAAAGGGTGATTAAGCATAGCTTAAGGTGTGATACAAAGATCTCTCATAATTAGTTTGGATTTATGTTGAGCAAGTCTACTATGTAAGCTTTACATTTATTGAGAGGTTTGATGAAGAAGTACAAATAAAGGAAGATCTACTTATATTTTTTATTGATTTAGAAAAAGCTTACCATAAGGTTCTAAAAGTAGTTCTTTGGAGAGTTCTATAAAACAAAGGTGTTGATATGACTTAGATTCAAGTCATTAAAGATATGCATACTATAGTTGTTAGTTATGTTCGAACAAAAAAAGGATTGACCAAATATTTTCCTATTTCAGTCGGATTACATCATGGATCGGCTTTAAGCCCATATTTTTTGCTTTAGTTATGAATGCTCTTAATGGACATTTACAGAAGGATATATCTTGGTGTGTGCTTTACATTGAAGATATCCTTATAGTGGATAAGACTAGAGAAAGAGTTAATGATGAACTTGAATTATGGATGTCAGAATTAGAGTTTATAGACCTTCGATTGAGTAGATCAAAAATTGAATACATGAAATGTAATTTTAGTAGCAGTAGATCTAGTGGCAAAGTTGTAACTAAGGGTGATCAAATCATTAAATTGTGAGGATGTTTTAGATATCTCGGGCCTATTATTCAAAGTGATGGTTCAAAGTGATGGTGTAGATCGAGATGTTATTAGTAGAATTCAAGTTGGTTGGTTGAAGTGGAGGAATACATCGGGCCTATTGTGTGATAGAAAAGTACCGCTTAGAATTAAATGAAAATTTTATAAGATGGCTGTAGACCTGCAACTCTTTATGGTGCAAAATGTTAGCCTTCAAAAGAAGCATAAAGCTAAGTTAAAAGTGATACTGACATGAGAATGCTTAGGTGGATGAATGACTTGACATCTAGAGACAAAATGCGAAACGGATGTATCCGTGAAAGAATTGGTGTGGCTCCAATAGCAAACAAGATTAGAGAGCGTCGACTTATATGATTTGATAACATTAAAAGTCGATCAATTGATGATCTGGTTAGGAGAATAGATGGTTTAGATTTGACTTAAAAAAATTATCTTAATTTATTAGAATTAAATAAAAATATGATACTACCATCCGATAGATTCAAGATAACTTATGAAGTTAACATTACATGCAACATTAAAAAGAAAAATAGTTAGAAAGTAAATAACATTTCCTAGGATTGGGTTCCCTACGCCTGTTTCAAAAGTAATATCATAAATTATAAACTGCTCTTGGTGTATTCACATTCTCAATAGTATGTTTAAAAAAACAGTTATTAATATTAGTAATATTCCACCCAATTGCATTAATACACTCGAGTCCTTTCAACTAATTCATTACTGCTAGAATAACAAAAAGAACTATATTTTAATAGATTTTAGAATGGCAAGACCTGTCTCTGGAACACACTGGTAGACTTAAAGCTCCTCATAACTAACTTGTAAAAGTAATGATATTATTTATTAATCACTGCTAAAAAAACAACTTAATGTAAACTGTAAAATAAAGGCACTTTTCTCACTAAAATAAGAGCAAACGTTTAGAAAGGTATGATAGTTTAAAAAAATAAATAAATTTAGTTTTATGGTAAGCCATGTTAGAACTTCTAAAAATGGAACTATAATGGTAGAGGAATTAATTTACAAGTTTCAAATACAACAACTTGATTAGTTATATAAAATGAAGCTACGAAGTGCTCCTATTAAAGCGCACAATAGACAGTTTAAACTCCCATTATTCAATCATACCTGAGCGGATTTATTTTCTTTAGTAGGCTAATGAATAGTACAGTTGCAAGGAAAAAATATAGGCTAATTTCAGTAGCTCGATGGTAAAATATTATCAAAAAAATTAATAAAGCATTTCTTCACAACATATGTACATCAGATCAGTAAGAAGAACGAATGCTACGGATAGTTCATTTCATAGGCTGAAAAAGCTTAAATCTAACATGCTATTGTCTTCAGAAAACGAAATTTAAAAGAGCTTTGAAACAAACATAAACATCGAGTAAACCGGCAAATATCAAATCTACAAGGAAATCACCTTAAAAAGAAGGTCGTGAGCAATATACTCCCATGGCAATGATATAGACATTAGACAGCACTTCAGCGGCAAAAGCTCTTTATCAGTCTTCTTTGTTGTAGAGGCAGCGGTACAAGCTTGTTTTGCTAACACTGAAGCAGCAGAAGCTGCTTTAACAATGGTACCAAGCCCAAAACTCCTTTTTGACATTTGAAGTGGTGACTGTGGACCATTAATCTGGTAACTTTGATCTACATACAACAGCATGTATAAATACAAAGCGAAATCCAGATTCTGCAGTTTCATATGACTGCATCAAAGATTATCATAATTCCAAAGTGCACAAGTCCATATTCTTTCAAAAAAACATCAGCATGTTTATTTCATTTTAACTCATGTATGATGATGTCAGCATAAGTTATGTGTTCAATCTAGTGCAACACGCACTAGATATTTTAAAAACCACATGAAGGCATGGTTATTTACTTGAACCTTCAGTTTCAAAGTTCACAGGAGGCCTTTTAGGATTCAGCAGCTCTAAATAACAACAAAGTCATAGAAACAACTGTATAATGCAGACTCCCAAATACATCTAACTATATGAATGATGCATCCTAATTAACTTAGCATAAAAAGAGGAGATGAAAAGTAGAGATATAAATGCACTGATAGCTCTAACAAGCCTAAAGCTAATTATATACATCAAAACAGGAGAAGAACAGTAGAGATCAATCAGTACACTGATAGTTCTAACAAGCCTAAAGCTGGTTATAAACCATCAAAAAAGAATATGAACAGTAGGGATCAATAAAATGTCACTTCTGCTCTTTGTGAAAAATGGGCAAAGAACTATATATCTTAAAACCTGTGATTCCAGAAACTGCAACTTCCACCTCCCCACGCCCACCTGGACCCCTCATGTAAAGGCGATCTGTTTTAGATGAAGCATTGCCAGGAAATAAAATGCTCCCAAAGGATGATCTTCCAGCTGCAGTATTTTGCACAGTTTAGAATTTGATTAATTTTTCTTCAAAAAAAGGGGGAAAATATATGATTAGTTTATAGTGACTTCAAACAAAATTAAAAAAATAATGACTTGAACGATTAATACATGGATGCCACAAATATAATCACAAATACAATGGTGAATCCCTGAAAATAGCAGCTTTAATCAATCAACCTCATGGAGCTCGAGCACTAATTCAGAAGATCACTCATCCACTTTGCAACAAAATACCAAATTACAGCTTAAATACTACAGACTTCTTCAGGGAAACCACAGAAAATAAATGAAACATATGTAGGTGAAACCCAGAAACAAAACAAGAAGATATATGTTTTTTATTCTATTTTGTTTCATAATCCAGTAAACTAAAAGAAATACTTAAATTTGCCGGGATTTCACAGAGCAGCCAAAACAATAATGGCATACAGCAGCCACAGATTTTTTCCAATCCTTTGCATACAAACAAGACTGCAATGCATTTTAATTTCCAGTCGCATTAAAAGTTTTCTTAATCCTTCACGGATGATTTACAGCTGCAGGCAGGATAGCTTTTCTCTGTCAACCATAAAAATCCAAACTCAAATCCTCAAACACTTTAATTTAAAAGCAAAGGTGTGCTGCAAAAATTATTAGTGATAAGCATCAAGCTGTGACTTGAAAGATTTCAGGGGTAACCATTTTTGCATAAACTAATACAAGCCACAGGATTATAGCTGTCAAAAAGGCTTGTACTTGAAAGATAAGGTCTTTCTTCTATTATCCCGCTATGCATGCATGAAACAATTGACGTTTCAAAAGTTATTATACCAATCCCTCATTTTTAAGCAAATAGCAGTGGATTCGCACTAGTCATAAAACCTTATTTGTCATGTAAATGCAACTTGGCAAGTGTTCATAATGGGTATTGTCATAAAGAAAGCAAAAGAATGTTGAACTGAGAAAAAAAAAACCATTGATGATTTTGGAGAGAGAGAAGTTAAAAACAAATCTAGCAATAATCTTTGTGCAAACTTGAATGCCTGCAGTTCTCAAAGATCACGAAACTAGTCCAAGATCATAATTGTATATACTAAATCATGATGTAATTAAAATCTTTGAAAAAGACGCCAATCTTTCAAAAAAAGGGTTGCTCAAAAATGTCTGAAAGATAAGGTCTTTCTTTTATTATCCTGCTATGCATGCATAAACTTATACTTGAAAGATAAGGTCTTTCTTCTATTATCCCGCTATGCATGCATGAAAAAATTGACGTTTCAAAAGTTATTATACCAATCCCTCATTTTTACGCAAATAGCAGTGGATTCGCACTAGTCATAAAACCTTATTTGTCATGTAAATGCAACTTGGCAAGTGTTCATAATGGGTATTGTCATAAAGAAAGCAAAAGAATGTTGAACTGAGAAAAAAAAAACCATTGATGATTTTGGAGAGAGAGAAGTTAAAAACAAATCTAGCAATAATCTTTGTGCAAACTTGAATGCCTGCAGTTCTCAAAGATCACGAAACTAGTCCAAGATCATAATTATATATACTAAATCATGATGTAATTAAAACCTTTGAAAAAGACGCCAATCTTTCAGAAAAAGGGTTGCTAAAAAATGTCTGTATTAAAGGATTATAAATGAAAATCTTCAGAGGATATAAATAATCAAAAGATAAAACTCAACAAGAATTGGAATAATTTTATAAAACACAAGAAAAAAATCCTTTGATTCTAAAGGAATGCTGTTTTCATGAAGAAAGACTTCTGAAAGGTGAAGTAACAAAAAGAAGGAATTTTCCATATACAAAAATGACATCCAAAAGGAAACTTATTCATAGCCAGATAAATATTTTAGAAAAGAAAAACGATAAAGAAGGAACTGCCATGAAGATTATTCTTTGATTTGAAATAATAATCCGAGTTCTGGAGCTATTGGATGGCAATTATGACAAGACAAAACTCATATTTACCTATTAAGAATCAATATCAGCCTCCTTCCAGTTATTGAAGGTAGGGCTAATTATTCTTTCATCGCCAGGCATTCCTATGAAGAGCTACACTATAGATTCTGATTTAGCTAGATCTTCAAGATATACATTCTAACTACGTTTGCATGGGCTAGACCATTTCTTCACAAGCCCAATTGCATGAAGTTAGATGACTGAGGAATGCAACTCTTTTTATTTTCTATCATACGCACCATAAATTTTCATCTTCAACAAACAAATGAAGCTATCACGTAAGTAGATAATAGACTTCAACTGTACGAAATTTAATGCATCCTTTGTTTTATTCTAATTTTTCATGGGAAGTGGATTGTACATAAGAAATAAGTTCACACACATAATTCTCTTTCAAGTTTAAATCAACTGCAGCAAGATGCAAATCAAAACGAAAGCAAGCAATGATGACAGCATACCTTCATATGCTTCTAGAACCATCTGATAGCTGACAAATCCAGAAAAAAGAGTAAGCTACAGTGGACAACGAAATCACATGTCATTGGACGCTCAAAAAATAAATCAACAATTAAAGTTCCAAAAATATACTCTCAGAACCACAGAAAGAATATATTGTAGAAATCACCATTAACCAATTTAAGGAAAACAACTATAAGAACATGATCACAGGCAGAGTCTGTCTTACACTGACATCAGGCTGCAGGCTGCAAAAAAAAAAAAGAAAATGGGATGTCAAGTTATACATTATTTTGAATGTTTGGACACTCCCGCAGAATAGAACACGATGTTGCAAAACCCATTTAGCACGTCTCCTCCCACGATCACTTTCTAGTAATATTATTGTACAAAGCATCACCCTTGAAACATGCATTTGCATTACTAAAACAGAAGGATTACAAAGAATAAAAAGAGAACCTTGCCCTACAAAATATGGGGCTGGTGAAAATCAACAAAAGGAAATAGGAAATGTTAACTATCAACATTCTTATAATAAAAAGAAACATGTACGGTTTTCTTTGCACAAGTATGGGCAATATTCTTCTTCCTATCTATGTATTGCAGAAGAACCTGTTTAAAAGAAACTAAGAAAGAGAACTCCTCAACTTCATGTGGTTTTTTCTTTTGAGTGTTGCCAAGCAGCAATTGTTGCAAGGACTCTATAATGTTCTTGTTATCACTTTCAATGACAATGCCTTTGACTTCATGCATCCATGATTCCACAAAATACTTGATAGATGAAATCTCCCCAAGTTCCACACCAGTACTGTCCCAATGCTTGACGAGTTGGCCCACCGCCAGGATAACTTCACCATTCTCAACTCTAATGACCATGCCAATGCTGCCCGTGCACGAAGGGAGGAGCACCCCATCAACATTAAATTTGAGACAACCAGAAGTGTAGGACACCAGAAAGGAGATTGCAACGGTCCTCCAGAATGGTAAGTGCCCCGTTGCTCCAGAAGTTTGAATTTATGCATTTAAATCAAAGCTTCAAGACAAGTAGAGGCCAAAATAGAATGCGTATAAAAGGTTCTACCATGCTTTTTAGCATTTCTTGCACACCAGCTTTGGTGGATCATTTTACAATAAATAGCAAGAATTCCTTCATTAAAGTTATCGGGCTTGGCAAGGACCTGCTTAACTTCAAGGAAATTCTGGAAAAAAAACATGAGGCCTTTTCTAACACCAATGACTCGCCCATAGGTAAAAATTGTGATGGATCAAATATTGTTATAAATATTAATTTATATTGCTAATTTATAAAGTACAAACTACTACTTCCAAGATATAACAAATGAATCAGGGGCAAGAATTTGCATTCAGGAGTCTTCTAATCATTTCTATTAGCTTTTCACGTGGTTCTTTGTCTATTTTACATGGTTGTCTTGGTTTTCTTCAGTGCTGAATTTGTTGGTCAAATATTCAAAAATTGATTTGTGAGCCTTCCCAAGGGATATAAGCCCCACCCTTCCTGAAATCGAGATGCTTTTGTACCATGTGAACAAAACATTTACCAAGGGGGGCAAAACTAAAGAAAAGATTTAAGTTGACGATCTTTATTCAAGTCTGTTGTATGCTAAAAAGGAATTCAGACCAACTTAGATATGCCTAAATATCTCCCTATCAAATATATTAATCAAATTGTTACCAAGGATGAACGTTTAGGAACAACCTGGAGATGAATATCTAAATTGGATTATAGATTAAAGATTGTCATAGAACACTATATACCATGCCCATTCATATGCTAAAAGGTGTTCTTCTTTCCTAAGCAAATTCATAAATTGATCTAGAATTATTGAATTGGCCACATATTAAGCCAAACTCAATATGGATCGATCAAGCCCATCGAATTGAACGTCAACGGTCACATAAATACATACATAAGAATCATTGATAGTCATGTTGTATTCCTGAATTGATTTCATTTAGACATGTGAACCGTATAAACTCATAAAGAGAGAGTGAGTCCCTAAAGCGTGCACTCCACCTCAATCAACTCAGAACATATGAGAAGACGAATCTAATCTCGCTTCATGCAAAGGTGGCATTGGCATTGTAATTAGTGACGAAAATGGTGATCTCATCCTCGCAGCTGGAAACCACATACAACACTGAAAAAATAGTCAAGTCGAACTTGCGGCAATTTTTGAATCAAACACTATATGGAACCATGGATGCATGAAGTCAAATGTGTTATTACCAAAAGTGACAACCAAAACATCATTACTTTGCTTCAACAAGCTATGACTGCCAAGACTTGGAGACTAATACCACTAGATACGGATGACCTCTCTTTTATAACATCATTCAAACATATATTATTCCAACATATAGATAGAAAAAAGAATATAGTTGCAAATGTGCTCAAAAGGCTATACATGCTAGGTTTTTTTTGTTAGGAATATTGATAGCTCACATTCCTTTTCCTTTTGTTGATTTTAACCGCACCCATGTTTAGACGGTCTAGGCCCCTTTTATATTATCTTATACTCTTTTTTCTTGATTGATGTAATATGCGCATTTCAAGCACAAAAAATGCATCAAAACTGTGATTCATGGATTGGATCCATCAAGTTACTCAAAATGAGGGAATAATGATCTCTTAATTAGGTTGATCATCCATCTCCCAACCAATCATAGATTACAAAAAAACTAAGCTCAATCACTATCAATCCAAAGAGTATGTGAGGTCCTTAATCGAGAGTGTTATCAAATATCACACAAGGGATGATATTAATCAAAAGGCTTGCACTCATGAGAAACATTGATCCCAATACCTAATATAAGCCCTAAATAGATCTTCATCGGCTAGGTGAAGTCTCAATAGAAGCAAAATGGTATGCCTTCAAAAATTTCATATTGCTCTCACCATCCACCCTCCAAGGTCCACACCCCAAAACAAATTAAAAATCACACCCCAACTTAATGTGCATTGCTACTACAAAAGCGATTGCATTTTTCTCATATGCATGTACTCTTCCAAGGTAGTAACTTCACATAAAAAAGTTCGGGTTATTAGGCACCTATATTGAACATCTTTTCACAATTGACATCATAAATACATACACAAACAAATATGCATACATGCATCAGGCTGAGCTCCCTTCGCTTCAGACGTTCATACATTTGGATAACCGCACACACATACATACTTTCAATTAGGAAGGACGAAAATCAAGTAGCTAAATTAGGATTTTTCTATAATTAGGAGTTTCCTTATTTAAATTATTTCCAATTTATTTATTCTGATTTATTTCCCTATTAGCAGAATATTTAGATTATGAATATGCATTATTAAGTTAGCTAAAATAGATTATATAAATAGATTATAAAATAGATTATGCACTTTATTTTGTATCTAAAATAGATTGTAAGATTATTATTTAATGGAATGAAAGCAAAGAGAAAAGGCATTGAGCCTATTCAAGATTCAGCCTATTTTCTCGAAGATTGACATGGTATCAGAGCCAAATTTTTGCCCTAACCACCAGTAGTCGTTGAAGAACTGTTAAGACTCCCTTCCGACCGACCTTCTTGCGGGAAATGATGAATTATTTCTGTGTTGATTCATCCATCTGACAAAGCCCTTCGCAACGGAAGCAGACACGGCACCGCACGCTCCGCATTGGAATCGTTCGAAGGGATCTTCGTCCGTTGCGACTGCTTCGTCCGTCTGCTCGTTTGATGAGCTCGACGTGAATCACTGTCTGCTCTTCTGGAATCTCTCGTCGTCTGTTCAATGTCTGATTATTTCTTCGCCTACGTCATCTTCATTCTACTTTGTCTTTCTCTTCGACTCGGCTGGTCTCGACAGAGCCTCTCCTTCGTTCGAACTCCACCGGCAACAGCTCCCGCTTCATCGTTATCTTCATTTGCACGTCAACGAGACATTCCCTTTTTTAAGTTTCATGCCTGATACCGACTTCAACACTTTTCGTCGTCGTCGCCGAAAGAATCAATAACATTTGGATTGTATAACAGAAAGCGGTAGCATTTGGATCGTGTAACTGGATCCTACTTGTGGGCTATGATCGGTAGCATTTGGATTATGTAACTGGACGCGAATCCATCTAGTGATTATGATTCGAATTTATGGACGACAACGATAAAGAATTTCTTGCTTTCTTTTGCTCAAATCATATTATGGTTCAGGAGTTATCTCTAAGGCTTCGACATTCTCGGCTTCGGTACCTTCAACTTTGGCACTCATGGCCTGAGAATTGTTGGTCCCGACAAAGTTTCTTGTTAGCAAATTAATGCTTCTTGATCTGTCAGCATCAATGAGAGGGGGGATGTCAATCAAGAAGAACGGAAATCAAGCAACTAAATTAGGAGTTTTCTATAATTAGGAGCTTCCATGATTAAATTATTTCTAGTTTCTTTATTCTGATTTATTTTCCTATTAGCTGAATATTTAGATTATGAATATGCATTATTAAATCAGCTAAAATAGATTATACAGAATATTTTGCACCTAAAATAGATTGTAAGATTATTATTTGATGGAATGAAAGCAAAGGGAAAAGGCATCGAGCCTATTCAAGATTCAACCTATTTTCTCGAAGATTGACACGTACACAAATACCTGTATACATATAAAATATGCACACATACACAATATATGGGTGGTGGTCCTCCAAATACTGATTTCTCAGGGGTGTGTGTTCGTCCTCAATGAGGATCGAACCCAGGCTAGAGGGGACTTACAACTACGCAACCAACCAATTTGTCGCCCGAGGTACACACACACACGTGTGTATATATATATATATATATATATATATGTGTGTGTGTGTGTGTGTGTTTGTGTGTGTATATATATCTGTGTTTGTGTGTGTGTAGATGTCAGTTGTGTATACACATCAATATTTTTGTGAATCAAAAGCTTATAGCAGTAAGAAAAAAAAAATTTCATGGCATGATTCTATTCAAAGAAAACTAGTTAGACAGCCTAAGCGTACATCAAATCCAAAGGAGAAGCAGTATTTCCGTAACCATCTTCAATCCATGACTAAATGAGAGGCAACTGACATAAAGTTTGTTAAATAAAGGCCATCGGTATTATTAGATTACAGCTAAGCCAATTTTAAGCAAAGGAGGTTGACCCATGAATAGCAACATAATCTCATGAAGCACTGAAAAATAAAAAAAGTCATCCCAATATAACGTTAAGGGAATGGCTGCATGAAAAAAGCATATATGCCGTGTGTTAAGGCGTTTAGGCTGTAGTTGTGCATATACAAACCTTAGGAAGCGTGCCTTTATCAGAATTACTATGCTTGGCAGAGCCATAAGAGTTAGTTTCATGTCCAGATGAGTCTTCAGGAAAAGCTGCTCCACCATGCGCATTAAGCAGAACACAATAGCAATGATTTGCTTCTGACAAAACCTAGAGAAGTTAAATTTGTGTTAAATAATCGATTACTCAATTTATTGGCAGAGATTATTTAAAGACTTAAAGCGGGATAAAAATGTTAAAAAGAACATTAAGTAAAAAAGAAATACAAAAATTTGATGAAATCATGACAAAATAAAGTTCAGAAACTGCAAACAAGTAATAGCAAAACATAAATTCAGGTAAGAAGAGAAAATATGTGCTGAGCTTTGCAGGCAAATGGGAAAGGAATTGTCTTACAACAGCATCAAAAGTGTCATCAAAATCATCAATTGCAAAGCAAATATCAGGGTAGGCGGGCAGAGTCTCTACAGCCTGCCAGCAAACTGAACTTATAAGAAAATAAAAACATAGGTAATATAGGTTTTATATGGTTTATGCGTGATAAACAGAAGCAAGCCAGCCAACCTTTTTAAATCCCAGTTGAAAGTTGACACGGCTAGGAGATGCATACACAGTCTTCACAACCTGTAATAGAGCATATCAAAATTCATATTATGAACATACAGACAATAGAGGATTCAACTACAGACATGAGTTAAACATGCCTCCAAAAGAACATTGCAAACAAAAAATTAACAGTTTCAAGCCATCGGTGAGAAAAATCACCAAAAGTATGTTATTTGGTTCTAGAATTACTTGGAGGACAAGGGTAAATTTACTACGAACAACAAAGAAAATATGAGAAAAACATTAAAAGACAATGGAAAAAAACCGAATAGCAAAATTCCCAAAACATCAAGATATCTAATCTGGAAGCATCTTATTTAAACTAGGAAGGTTATGAAGTGAGGGTGAGGGGTACTTTAATAACAATGTCGTGATTGGTGCACTAGAGGGCATAAACTCTATTTACAAAAAAAATAGTCCCTTAAAGTAGTAGACATCAGTGAAGACAAATCCATCTAATTGTTACGAGGGCGCCTAGCCTAAGAGTAAATTTGTCTTTTGTACGTCTAAGGGCAATTTAGTCTTTTATTATTATTATTATTCGGTATATGAGGATTGTTATGTCTAGGGTTAGGTTTAGGCATGAGATTGAGTTGTGAGTGTTAGATCTAGGGTTTGGGAAATATTTCCTACCTCTCGAATTGTAGGAAGTGGGAGAGATCGACTACCTCTCGAACTGTAGGTGCTTATCTTTTGTAAGCGTCTTAGTTGTTTGGTTTATTGAAATAAAAATTTGTGTTTTTTGTCAATTTCTGTTGAAAACCTGCCGATTTCTACCTCAGATCATATCAACTTCTCATCTCAATATAAGGCAGAAATACTCATATTTTTGTTAAAACCTAATTTAAAATAAACCACCTACTTTGCACATTTAAATTCTTATTTTCAATATTTGACTAGTTTGAAGGACAGGCCTGGCCAAGGGCAAGAGCTGGTTACCTCTAATGTTATCTTAAGTTCAAAAGTTAAAACTGTAACACTTGCTTTGAAACCAAGGATAAGAGTACGTGACTTCTATTTTAGGGTCTGTATTAGCAGGAATTTATTATGAAAGAAAGAAGAATGCTTATAATTCAAGAAATTATTCTTAAAAATGATACAAAAATGAGAAATAATAAGCCATCACTTGAGATGAAAGATATAATTTTTTTATAAAAATTTTTAACAACTTTTTACTCGGTGCACAAAGTGCAATAGGCCAATGCTTTCTTTAGCTTCAAATGCAAAGCATAATGTGAATCAATGCTTATATGAAATTGTATATAATTATAAATATAACGATACACTCCTTAACAATTATAAAATATATTATTAGATAACCAAAAACTTGATATAGAATAGAAAAATAATGATGCACATACCTGGTTCAAAGATAAACTTCACGGGGCACCTTCAAATTTAAATTTATAATAATTTTAAAATTCTAATAATTTGTTATAATGATTTTAAACATAAAGATTGCAAAAGTTATGAAGTTTTTTTTTTAATTCATAATAAAGGCTAATTTTTAATGCATAAATAAATTAATAAAATCTTAAAACTTCATAAAACAAACTAAAGAAATTCATTATTCATCATGATCTCTTTCATTCACAAAATCTCTCTCCATCAAGTAAAATCCCTTCATCTTCAAATTCTTCTTCTTTTCGTGCTTCTTGTGAATCAACGTCAACATCTCTTTTTCGCATAATTAAAGTGATTGCAAGCCAGAATGAATTAGTTGTCAATGCGGATAAATCCTCTTTATATTTTGATCTACTAAATCTTAAAAACTATCTTTGATTAACTTTTCACTAAATATCTTCAATTTAACTCCAATTGAGGTTTTCATCACGAAAATATTGCTCACTATTATCATCCATTTCTCCAATCAATCATCATAGCTTTTATCAATAGAATCCAAACTCATTGAATAAATAACACCGTTTAAATTGAATCTTTTTTAAAAGTTTGATTGTCGTTGATAAAAAAACAAATCATTTAATGCTTATGATCTAACCTTTTCTTTTTGGTATAAATCTGTAAAACAAGTTATAATGAATACATGAAACAAGAATTAATTAATATATTTCAAAATTTTAAATTAATTACCTATTCGAAGATACTCTAATTTCTCTCACACACAGCACTGCAAATGAATCTTAAAATTTTAACCTCCAAATTTTGCAACGTTGAGGCCGGTACATCATACATCTCCCGCCATTACACTACATTATAATTATAAAGTCACATTAAATAGAAATTTTAATCAATTAAAGACTCAAAGTTATGTAGAAGCTTTAACTATTCATATCTAAAGGAGAATGATAAACTCAATTGCAAATAAGCCACCAACATGATTATAAATAGAAAATGTTTAATCTGTGACTATTCTTTCACTTGGGTCTCTCATTAACCTGCTAATATATGCATATAAGTTTTTCATTAATTGAACGTTTAATTATATCTTAATTATAAGGTTGTACTAATAAAAGAAAACTATGTAAAGCACAAGGTGATAAATGTTAATTGTGAATTGGATAGCACAGTAATAGAGGTTATTGTTCTACCATGATAATTAATAGAAATATATCAAGCAGAAACAAGATTTTATATGAACTTTATAAATCTTGAAAAGGCTCAACTAAGAACTAAATAGGTGAGCACTAAAAAGAACAAAGAAGTTAGGCCAAAAATATGTTGAAGATGAAAGATACATATGATAAAGCATTGACTTAAACTAAGGCAACTTATGTAGTGATAAAATGTATAGATCAAAAACCAACATTTCCTTGCATAGGATTATATCAAAGACCAAGCGTTAATTTCATACCATTTGTATTAGTTGATATGCTTGCAAAAGAAATTCAAATTGGGGTGTTACAGTGTTTGCTTTTTGAACATGATAAAGTTCTAAATGACCAATAATTCTTTGAAATGTGAAAAAATTTAAATAATGAAAAAGATATGTAAAAGATATAAGGCTTGAATTTTTAATACAAAGACCGTATGTTTAAATAGTTGTAGTGGGACTGCTGCTTGTAATGCTTATCAAATGCTATTCAATTGAGGTGCTTTGGAGTATGATTCTTGCATATTGATATAATTCCAATCAATGAAATATCTACTAAAAAGGTAAAAATCGAAAAACAAATACAAATAATATTCAGTAGATGAGAGCTAAAGTTTAGCGGAACAAAGATCGAGTTTCAGAAATATAACTATAGTGCGCATAATTTAAGATTTATCAATCAATATTATTAGAGGAAAAATGATATTTAAGCTTGATAAATTTTGATGCACTTGATCTATTACATAAAAGAATAGGGATAAAGAAAAGGATATAACTAAGAGAATATCATCAAGATTGAGTGTCCTTCACAAAGTTTTAGCAACAAAAGAATATCATCAAGACCTAAAGATAAATTTTATTAAATCATGATTTGGTCCATTATGCTTTATCAGTATTGGGAGATAAAAATATCATCAATAGCCAAGCTTAGCATAGAAAGAATGAGAATGTCAAGATTAATGTCTAACAAAACTACAAAAAATGAACAATTAGACATCATTTATTGATTACAAGGTAGTGAAAAATAGAATAAGCTATCATGGACATTTTCAAGATCATAAAATGCATCTACATGAATGAATAGATAAAATTAATTTTAAGAAAGTTGAAGGAAAATGGAAGGATAAATTTATAAAAAAGAAACTGCACAAATTAAGTTTAAAACCTCATGCAACACTCAATAAAAATAAATATAAAATTAGATGCATAAACCAATTCATCCACTCATCATCATTGATCCCGAATTTTCATTCATCTATTTTGAGTTTTGTTTGACATGTTAAACTTATTTTGGATAAAATTGTTAGCAAAACTTTTAAGACCCGTTGTCAAAATGGTCATAAAATTACTATGCAATAATACAGATTGCCAAATATGAAAGTTGATAAAACATGGATGAATGTGAATATTTTGTCATGCATTAATAAATCTAACATTCAAGTAAGACGTGAAATGTCAATTTTATAATATATCTATAAAAATAATCCATTACTACACTCACATTTAGATAGCAGTGACAAAACAAATCATTAGAGTTTGCACATATGGAGGACGATGAAAGAATGGGAAAGAGGTTCTTAAAGACAAAAAACCAACCCAATAAAAGATCCAGAGTACATTATGGACAAAAAAGAGTTAGATTCTATGTACCTTGTAAATAGAAGACAATGATGTATCTTCCCCAATTTGGTGGCTGAGGAGAGACTGAGTGCTGTGTAAGTAAACTATATCAGAATCTTTATTATTCAATATTTATCAAAAAGGATAAACATGCAAAATGAAAAATGAATATTAAACTGAAAAATTCGTAATTATCGTCCTCACTAGAAATATAAATTTAAGTTCGGCGGAAGCTGAATTCTAGCGAACAAGCATCAATAAAAATCCGTAATAATCGTCCTCACTAGAAACATAATTAGTAATAGCTGTGGGTTTATAGAGCGATTTGGATGCAAAAATAAGAAATAGTTTTACAACATTATATTCAGCTACACGTTGTCTTTTATAACAGCATCAGCATTAAAATTATTTGCCAAGTTTAAAATGATTTTAATTATTACAATCAATGGCCCACTTCATTCTTCCATGTTAACAGAGGAAAATTTTGACTACTTCATGAGTATACACCAAAAGAAATCATGTAAAAAATTTTCATTGAACGATTGGGAATATAGTTCTCATCAAGTAATATTACAGTTGTTAAAATAAGGATGCATGGCGAACCATTGCAAGTATTTAGGGGTTGTTTCGTTCCCAGCATTTTGAATTTGACTGTATTTTAATTACAAAATATATTTGATATATTTTGAATACTCAGAGTGGAACTATTATCTATAAATTAAATAAAGAGATTTTTTCTGTTTTATCAGCTCTAAAGTAGAGTCTGGCACGCAATTGAAATGGAGAAATTGGTATTTGAGAAATTTGAATATCTTATATAAATTAAACACCATCAAAGTAAAGTCCTCAAACAAAACTAACATTACCCCTTTATTTGAATATCATATAATAATATGAACATAACACTGAGTGCAGCATAACTAATAACATGAATTACTGGGTAATTTTAATTTCTACACATCACTATTTCATCCCAAAACTTATTCTAATGAGATGACCGTTCTTTATAACCTTCCGATCTAAAAGCCATTGATTCCTCCAATTCCAATATGAACTTAGCTCATTCCTCAAAAATATAAAGAAATTGATTCAGAAATATGAGAATTCTACAAATATTATAGAGGTATAAATATCATAGTTATTGTGAATAAACCATAATAATTGAGACTACAGTTTAAAAACACTATTATATGTCCTTCCTGAAGATACAAACAAGAAATTGACCCAACTCAACAAAAATTAAAAAAATAAAAATTCATTTTGCTTGCCTAATACCAGTCATTCAAGAGAAAGCTTGCAAATTATAAAGTTATCTCAATTTAATCAAGTATACCCGACTCGCCTCTACTCAATTACAAACCTAATCACAGATAAAGCAAGGTCATTCAATATCACATTCTTCGAACTTTTTACAAGAGCTGAGAAAAGAATATAATTCCGAAAAAAATTAATCTGATGAGACTTCAAAATATTGTAGCTTGAGAAGCCCTCTTAAATTGCTTCCAGTCATTTCGAACTGTTGACTGATGAAGGACCTGGAGGTTGTGATGGAATCTACTTGAAGGGAGAGAAGTTGCTCGTAAATAAAAAATCAAGGCACAAATCATTCCAAGAGATGAAACTTGACACAATTCCCAAAATATTCAGGTCATTCAATTATCACTCCAACCATTCAATCTTCACCAAATATACTTGTTGATGAACCTTCCATTTCTAGTCTCTAGTGAAATGAAATGAAGAATACCAAAAGTGAAAAAGCAAAGCGACATAACAAAAGTCGAAGTCTGCATGTCACAATTGGAAACCAAATAAATAGGGGGAAAGAATTAAACAACATTTAGTCAACCGCATGGACCATAACTCCACGCAGATTCTAGACAAAAATGAAGAATAAGCACTCCAAGATGACACTATTTGTGTCAAGGAGACTTGAATATCTCAGGCCAAGTGCTTAGCCACTTGCTTGTGGGCTCCAAAAATGTGCATCTCAGCCTCACTCAAAAATGGATGAGAGTTTTACATAAGATTCCGGGACAATTTTTCAAAAGGCTAATAAGACATTATATAAGACAACATTAATATTTTGCCTTCATTTTGAAAAAAATTTAAGATCTATGATTCTAAGTTTCTCATAGGCTCAAGCGTTTATAGTTAATTATCTCTTCCATTAACAGGAGAGCATTTTCAATCAAAGCTAATTATAGTAGCAGCAACTTAATTTTAGATAAGTTAATTTCTGAAATTTTAGCTATAATTTACGCTTTGTTATTAGGTATCCAGACATCCATAGGCATTGTAATTTTCACCATAGTTATTTCTGTTGACCTTAACGAAGCTCAAATAACCAAATGCCGCTACATCAAGATAACAAACTCCTCCCACAATTTCTAAACAGTTTCATATACAGGAGAAATCCTTAAAAAGTAAGTCAATATATAAAATACAATTGCCTTGGACTCCTGATTCTTTTTGTTGAAAGGGATTCGATAGATCTCCATTAAAATGTATTATAATTGATTAAAAAATCCACATTAACGAAAAGGCGAACTAGTACATTGTCGGCCGAAAATTTGAAAATATTTTAAATTTAAAAATAGTTTTAATATATATATATATATATATATGTGTGTGTGTGTGTGTGTGTGTGTGTGTGTGTGTGTGTGTGTGTGTGTGTGTGTGTGTGTGTGTGTGTGTGTGTGTGTGTGTGTGTGTGTGATTTTGATTGAAAATAATAATTTAATTTTGAATAAATGATGTCAAATCGATCCCACATATTCGATAGTTTAGATGGTTGAGCGTGATACCGCAAATAATACATTATCCCGAAGGATAAACATATCACTTATAGTAGGCTTAACCACCTGAACTAAAGAGTTTATGACATTCGTTTAATCTATAAAACCTTTTATGTGTGACCAACAAGTTCTCCTACCTAATATAAAGATTAAATATGATTTATTTTACCTTGGTTCTTGGTTCCTTATAGAGGTAAGTCTCTAGAGTTAATTACATCTTAAATAACTGAAGTCACTTAAGAAAACTCTCGATTAAGATCAGTGATTTTGTCATCAAGTTTTCAATGTTTATTTTTAAAGATAGAACGTAGTTAAGTCAAAAGGGAATGACTCAAAAATAGGAACAGTTATTTTCAGGAGATTAAAGTAGTGAAAGGTAGGGGATATCATGAATACAAGAGAATCTCGATGACTTCTCATCTATCCCAGTGTTTGGTTTTATGTCTTTGAAGTGAAGTTAATTAATATTTAATCTTGTCAATTTTATTATTTAGGGCTTACACTCGCACGATATCTGATCATGCAAATAGTCCAAGAAGATAAAAGATTTACGTTGTATCACACGGCAACCTCGAAATCCTAAAAAGTGTTAGGACTTATATTGCACAGCATGGTTGTGCAAAAGTCAAAAAGATGATGTGATGATTTATGTCGTGCTAAGCAGACCACCTCGAAATCCTATGACTTATGTTATTTATTCTACATAATGGTTTAGCTTATGTAGATTTGTTTTGTTGTTGCAGATCGTCATCCTACGTCCGCTGCGTCCTGGTCGTGCTGCCCTCGAAGCCTTGCTCCAAGCTCCTTATTTAGAGGAATCGAATTCTGGGTTTAAAGTGGAGATCTTTTATGTGAACATGCAATTGTTGGGTCAGTCGCTTGCCATAGTGCATCTCCTAAACAGATGTCTTACTGTTTTCTATCCTAGAGGGCCCTGCATGCTCTTTAAGAAAATGAAAGGACAAAAGAACAATAAAAGTACAGTAAGGAAAACAATACAAAGAATAGTAAAGAATAGTAGTGAAAGATCCAGTAAATATGGAAAAATGCAATAAATATAAAATAAATCTATGTACTGTGGGTCAACTTTTTGAAAATTGAAATTAATTTTGAAATTTAATTTAATATAACAAGTATATAGTTTGGGCTTTGAAAGTAGCGTGTTTTAATTTGTGAAAAATGAGACCAAATGGATCTCATTTTTTCAATAGTTTGTATAATTGTGTCTGATACTGTAAATATTATATATTTCAGAAAGATGAGTGTATATCATGACGATAGACCTAATCCTGCAAACAAAGAGATTGTGACATCCATTTAACCTGCAAACTTTTTATAGGTGACCAACAAGTTCCTCTACCTAATATAAAGATTAAGTATAGTTTATATTATCTGAGTTCCAAGTTCCCTATAGCGGCACGCCCCTATAGTTAATTACATCTCAAATGACGGAGGGTCACTTGAGAAAACTCTCGATAATGATCAGAGGTACTAGTCTTCAAGAATTCGAGGTTTAGGTTTACACGGTAGGACTTGAAAAGACAAATGGGAGTGACTCAAATAGGAACAGTTATTTTCAGGAGTCAAAAGGGAGGAAAATGTAGGGGATGTCACAGATCTTGAGAAGAAACCTCAGTGACTTCCCAAACAATCTTAATATGTGGTTGAATTTTAGAGACGATGTAATTTAAGTGTTTAATTCTGCCAATTTTATTATTTGTGACTTAAATTTGCATAATATTCGATTATAAAAATAGCCCGCGGAAATAAAAAAGGGTTTACGTCATGTAACACGACAACCTTGAAACCTAAGGCAAGTTCGGACTTACGCTGCACAGCATAGTTGTGGAGGAGTCTAAAAAGAATGTGAGGATTTACGTCGCACTGGGCGAGCTACCTCTAAGTCTTATGGGTTGTTATTATGCTAGGAAGCGATAATGCTGAAGAAGATCATTTTGTCGCTCGATCCAAACTCCTCACCCGTCTGCCCATAAAGTTAGCTCCAAACTCTTGTTGTTACGATAGCTTCAGGATTTAATTGTTTGAGATTGGTGATTTATGTTTCAGAGTTTTGGTGTCAAAGTTTGGTTTTGTTTTGCATGCAGAATTAACAAATTGCAGGTAAATAAAAAGTACTTGAAAAGTAAAATGATATAGATAAACTGTAAAAGCGTACCTGGGCATTTGCCAGTGTACTTCGACAACTGTTACTGTTGCGTGATTAATATTGCGAGCATAGTATGATTTGCAACAAATTTAAATAAATTTGCAAGAAAAATAAACAAGGCGAGAAAAC